TCATATAAATACCGTCGCACACAATTGTTCATCATTGTGTTTGGAGTCACTGGATAGATCATGGGACTTCAAAATGAGACAAACTGCACAAATGCTAAGAAGAACATTGGCCAGTGGGGTGACAGCTTGTTCCGTAAGTCAAGGGAAATAGCACTGACCTGGACTGCAGTCAGAGCTAATGGAAAATGAGCCTTCGCACGTACAGCACAGCAGCCTGCAGTAATTAAAAAGAATTACACTAGGGATTGAAATAAGTGGGATCTTGGGCAGGTGGGGGGGGAGGGAGGTGAGCGAAGCAGGGGGTGACAGATTGCATTTTTCAACACGATGGAGGAGCGCAGGGCTGGGCTGTCTGCCTGGCGCCGCTGGGGTGTCGGGCACAGGCTGTGCCAGGCTCCACACTCTGTGACCACAGCCTGACCTTTCCCGATGGGAGCCAGAGCACAAACCAGGCCAAGGGACAAAAAAACGGCCATCCCTCCTTATATCCAATTCACCGTCCCCGTTCCAGAGCTCAGTGAGGTCAGCCAGCAGTGCATTTAGTCATTAGCGAGTTAAAGCAGTTTTAGCTTTTACCATCATTTGAGGTGCCAATAAAGTGAAATCATCATTTCTGCCATACTTTTCCATATGAGTCTCCCTGTCCCCCTTTAACCTTTCATTAGCTTATGCTGAATGAATGGCATGGATTGCAATTCCACTTGAAGGCTATTTGAATTCCAGGGCTAATTCAATTCATTTATGAGCTTATTAACTCCTCTGAACTCTGTGGTTAATCCCAATATATTAATATATACAGTAGTGCGAACTTTGCATCTATCCCGCAGTGGTTAGTACAGTGGCCACACACCACTGCAGTTCAAATCTCTGCCCTGGCTGTAGGCGTGTGGAGTTGGCATGTTCTCTCATGTCGTTGTGGGGCTTCCTCTGGGTGCTCCACTTTCCAGTTATCTACTAAGCAGCCAGATCTAGAGAACAAACCAGACGGAGCACACATTTGGCCAGCATGGTATCTCAGCTGTGCCCGCCTGCCTTATGGAGTTTGCATGTTCTTCCATCTATCCATCCATCCGCTTTTTGTACCTGTTTGTTCTATTCTGGGTCGGTGGGGTTGGAGTCCATGCAAGCAAAGGAGAGAACAATCCGAGATGGGGCGCCAAACCATTGCAGGACACACACTATTCACACACACACATATGGGGTAATTTGGGAGCTCCAATTCACCTCAGCTATTTTTGGGACTGTGGGAGGGGGGACCTGGAGAATCCTGAGGAAACCCCACAATGACAGGGGTAGAACATGCAAAGTTCACACTCATGGAGCCAGTGCAGAGACCCTAACCCCAGGTCCAGAGGTGTGGGGCACCAGTGCTAATTACTGAGCTACTATGCCGCCCCTGCATATTCTCCCTCAGTCCCAAAACATGGCATACTGTATATAAAGTGCCCCTACAGTGTGATCATGCGTGACTCTGATCCTGTAGCAGGTTATGGAAGATGGATGCCTGGAAGAAGACAGAAGACACTTCCAAATTTAAAAACAAATCAATTCACACTTCTAATTCACATCATATCTATGAGGTATAGATAATAGTTCAGGCCATAAGACGCCCATATTCTGTAATAATAAAGGCTGCTTATAATTTTTATGCTGTCCACCCACTGTCCTACCCCTGCGCTACAGCAATTTGGTTCCTGCTTTCTCTGGAATCAGCCATGCTTCTTACCAACCCCTTAATATGCAGACAAAATAAACATTTCTCACTTCTCACACAGAGAGCTGGAATACGCTTTCTCACCTAAAACTCCTGATCTTCAATATTCTATCCTCTCACTCAAAAAACATCCAAACGCATTATAAACTGAGAATTGAGTGTGTTCAAGCATTGGCTAAGAAATCATACGGTCGCCCGGGCATGAGACCAGGAGCAGAGAGGTACCTATGACTTATTCAGCGGGAGGATGAGCTGGCGAAGTGGAAGAGTCCAGCTCATAACAGCTCCGTGGGTCACGTTACATGCGATAGCGCATCCAGATCAGTTCAGTGCCCAAGCTAGTGCCTGGTACAGAATTACGGGCAACTGAAGACTCCGACACCTAACCAAGGTTCTTGAGGCAGGCCGTAATGAGAGAGAGCTCTGAGAGATTCCACCACTCTTACCTTTCAGATATCCATTCGACATGAATAACCCCCCGGGACCTAAAGCTGCAGTTTTTTTATCACTTAGCAAACAACTAATTTCAAGATATTCTTGTTTAATTTTGCCTGCGTTTCCATGGCATTTAGATAATTTTGCGGAAAATCCTTAGACTTGCATGAGAAGTGCTTGCTGATTTTCTGAAGCTCGGATAGATCCCTACATCCGTAATGGGTATTTTATTTGAAGGCAGTGAACACCATAGTTTTCTTGTTTTTCCCACCCTTGTCTCTGTGAAGGTTTCCTGTGGCCAACATACTGATATTTGTGGCACGCAGTGCCCAGCTTCCTCTCACTGCACTGAAAGTGGTTCACACTGCATTGCCAGTGCACAGAGCACAGTGGCAATATGACAGCTCTCTGTCACTGGCCGCTATCTGCACAACAAGGTACATCCTGTACAACCCAAAGACACACAGGCTGCTTTTACATTTCGTTTTGCACAGCATTTTGCCCAGCAAAATTGTCGAAAAACACAAACCTCTAGGAATATCATTAGTTAGTTAAGAAAGGATTGATAGTGACTGGAGTGATTGATGACATATCATTGATTAATGTAGGTAAATATTGTTTAGAACTTTTCGTACTACATATAGAAACAACTGGAGAACAGGTATGAATCACTGTGTACAGGATCATCTTATGCTCATACCCCCCCATCCTAGTAAGGCTCCCATTCAGTGGAGGGCTGTATGGCCACTTGTCATTGTGGAAACTCACAGTTTCTGTGTCCCCTTCAGATGTTATGGCAGCTGGTCAGTGATCTCTGGGCTAGTGGTCTGAGCCCAGCACTTGTAATGCACCTGAGTGTGCAGCAGAGCCAAACAGCTCCTCTGGCCCGCCTGTAAGCCTGCTGCTCTGAGCCAATCAGCTCCTCTGGCCCACCTGTAAGTCTGCTGCCCTGAGCCAATCAGCTCCTTTGGCCCACCTGTAAGCCTGCTGCCCTGAGCCAATCAGCAATTCTGGCCTGCCTGTAAGTCTGCTGCCCAGCCAATGTTCTCCAGGGGTGGTTCACACATGCTATGTTGACGTTTTTGGGTGAGGTTGGTCTGTTTTCTTGCTTTGAGATGTTTTGGTCTGAATTTGGGTGTTTTTGCTTGCCGTTGGATGTGTTGGTCTGAAGTTAGATGAAGTTGGCCTGCATTTGGGTGTCTTGGCTTGCTTTGAGGTCCAGTTGGCCTGCATTTGGACCTATTGGTCTGTGATTTGGTATGGCTGGTATTCATCCAGTTCTGTTGGTCTGCAGTCAGGTGTAGTTTCCAGCAGGGTTACGGTGTAGGGAGATTAGACCACTTTATGTGGATGGACCCACTGTGAAGACGATGCGATAGGCAGCACAGACACCCTGGCAACTGAACCCTCATTGGCCATTGATCTAGTAGCTTGACCAATGAAATTTCCCATTTCACTGTGCCAGATGTGGGGTCTGCCAGCACTCGATTTATCCTGTACAAAAACAAAACTGGATATTTAAGATCTTATTAATCTGTAAAAAGCTGCAGAGCTCAATCATTGACTAATTTTGCTTCTGAAACATTTTAACCTCTACACCAACAATGTCAGATCGTACAGCTTAATTCAGAGCTTCGCTGTTCCCTGCTGCTGAAAATCATCAAGCCAACTGGCTGCCTGTCAGAACTGCTCATACTTACAGCACATTCACACTCGCCTGTCAGTCTGTGAAGAGGACCATGCCTGTTATTTACACCTTCAACTGCAAACTATCCTGATATATTAAAAATATCATTACGAACATCCTGTGATTGTAAACAGTGGCGAAATCCATTCCAAGAAGCAATGTAAAACAATGCATAATGCTTCAAAAAGGCAACACTTGAAGAGTAGTAGTTTCATCCCTCGTCCTACCCCCCCCCCCCCCCCCCCCCCCCCCCCCCCCAACCCCCCACCACCACCACCATGGGGCGTGCAGCACAGAACAGAGAGTGCTGACGTCCCATGTCTTATGTAAGACTCGGTCTGGCAGAGATGGCTTGTGAATTCCCTCCCATTTTGGTATAGGGGGCTGGTACAGCACGGGTTTCTCACCCTGCGACTCAGAGAGGCTTCACAATGTGTGCGTACACTAGTGGGCAATATTGTGGAAACACCTAGCATTTTTGGCATTACGCTTTAAAAATCACTACACAAATATTGGCTGTAATGTTTATAAACAGTCAAAGAATGTTTACAAATATAAACATGAATGATTAAATACGTAAGTAGGGTAAGTGGAATAAAGTTCAGTAACCTCTAAAAATTGGTAGTGCTTCCACAGTTCTGGCCACTAATGTGTGTGTGTGTGTGTGTACAATGGAGCAGATGCTTTTACAGTAAATGCATATCTTCATAAATATTTAACAGACTTAGCATTTTGTAAAGCCAGGTCTGTCAGTTCCATTGAGATGTTAAAGAGTACGACCAGCGATGGTATATAATTCATACATTACTTGAAGCAGTATTAGGTGGCTGATTGTTTTCACCCCCAGTTCCATCCACCAGAAGGCATACCCAATCCCCTGTGTTCATTTCCTCACATTTTTATTACCTTGGTAGTGGCCAGCCTGAATTTCCCTGGATATTGTATTTATATCGAAAATCAAAATTTTATGCACTCTAAGTCTCAACAAGCAGAACTAACCTGAATTATTATGATTCTATCACTACTAGTCACTACTTCTACAAAGTATTTGTTGGAGAAATGTGTTGTATTTTACCCACATTTCTGTATGGTCATCATTAAATCATATTGATAATCATCATGAGCATATTCACAGTCTCTGTGGCTCCTGCTTTTCTCTCCAAGGTGCTGTCTCTGGGCGCTGATGTCCTTCCAGAGTACAAGCTTCAGGCTCCCCGCATCCATAAATGGACCATCTTGCACTACAGTCCTTTCAAGGCAGTGTGGGACTGGGTCATCCTCCTGCTGGTCATTTATACCGCGATCTTCACACCCTACTCTGCTGCATTCCTGCTCAATGACCAAGAGGAGGCAGCTCTGCAGAACTGTGTCTACTCCTGCAGCACACTCAGCGTGGTGGACCTCATCGTGGACATCATGTTCATCATCGACATCGTCATCAACTTCCGCACCACCTACGTCAACAGCAACGACGAGGTGGTCAGCCAGCCGGGCCGCATCGCGGTGCACTACTTCAAGGGATGGTTTCTCATCGACATGGTGGCGGCCATCCCCTTTGACCTTCTGATCTACCGGTCCGGAGAGGAGGTGATTATTCTCATCAAGTAGGCCAGATGAAACAACCACAAAGGGGTCACTCTGGTCCCACAATCACAATGCTACAAAGAGTTCAAAAAGACAAAAGCTCAAAGTGAAAAGAAAAACATAGAGAAAAATAAACCATCATTCATTTAGCATATTTTCTATAGCTCTCAGTTGGTATCGTATAAAAAGAAACACAAACTTTTCCAGTCGTGCTTCTTTAATGAGCTAAGAGAACCAGCTGTCAAAAAAATATGCTTTGTAAATGCTTTCGCTGTTGAGAGTCCATTGAAAATACATGTCAGCATGACAATAAAAAAAATGGTAGCAAGTATTTATCTCCTTCAATATGTCATCACATTCACTGTAAGACATTAGTCCAAAAAGGAAATTCAGCAGCTATGATCTCTTTCTGGCTCTTCCTAGACTCTAATCCATGTCAGGACAGTTAAATTACTGTACTGCAGTGCCAAATATGTTGGCTGAGCCCATTTAACTGCATTACTGAGCTCTGAATGAGAGCTGGAAAACCTTTAGGTCTGTGTTGCTGTCTTTGTGGTCAATGCGTCATTAAAAAAATAACAATGTATGGTTAGAAATGGAGATTCTCATTATCTCAGCTTTTCGCCTGGTAAGGAGCTGCATTATGTTTCAGACTCGTGGTTTGTTCTGGAATGCCATTGAAGCTGGAACCTCATATGTATCTTTAATGCTTTTCCGCCATTTATGAGCAGCTTCTTTTCGGTAGCTTTGTTGTTGCCATGCCTCCCTCTCCAGACAACCACTCTGATTGGCCTACTGAAGACGGCCCGGCTCCTGCGATTGGTGCGCGTGGCACGGAAGCTGGACCGCTACTCGGAGTACGGTGCGGCGGTCCTCTTCCTGCTCATGTGCACGTTTGCGCTCATTGCTCACTGGCTGGCCTGCATCTGGTACGCCATCGGCAACGTGGAGCGCAACGGCTCGTCGCGGATCGGCTGGCTGGACTCGCTGGGCGAGCAGCTCGGCAAGCCGTACAACGACACAGTGAGAGACTCGGGGCCCTCCATCAAGGACAAGTACGTGACGGCGCTCTACTTCACCTTCAGCAGCCTGACCAGCGTCGGCTTCGGCAACGTGTCGCCCAACACCAACTCGGAGAAGATCTTCTCCATCTGTGTCATGCTCATTGGCTGTAAGTTACTGCTGCATCAGCCCTGGTGCATCCCATACTGTGGATGACACATCTAAATAGGAAGTCAGAGTATGATATAATATAATATAATATAATATAATATAATATAATATAATATAATATAATATAATATAATATGTGCTTCTCAATTTTAGCAACAAAACTAGTTGCTGAAATTTGTTTTGCAAACAAACAAACACAAACAAACAAACCAACAATCATGCAAACAAATAGCTTCTTTCAGTGAAGTTGCCGTAACTCTCTTTGGTACCTCCAGCCATTCCATGTGGGCTATTTGTTATGTGACAAAACCAGTGCACCTTATTCCAGTGTTCGCATAATCAATGCCTCTTTTAGCATTCCAGATCTCCTGGTGGCCATACTGTACATGACGTTCAAAACAGTTCAAATGCAGGACCCAGGCTGTTAAACAAACCCAGCTGCATGCAATGTTCTCAGTAAGCAGTTACCACAATGCGAATTACGTTCGGCTGATTTTATGACATGTCCAATGATAAGCTGAGAATAGAAATTGTATGTGTCAGAATTGTAGTGTAATTCACACCCATTAAATACTTGGCTTGACTCACTTGCAAGCTGTCCCTGCATGTGGTGCACTGACTCCTGACATGTAAGAAATTAGCACCCAACAAACAAGACGGAGTGGCCATTTTCACCGACACTGTTCCAGTGTAAACACCAGTTCCATGCACCGTTTAAAGTCATCAATCATGTCTAAATTACTGAAAAATGCACTGAAAACAAAATGCTGCTGGTAAATGGTTCTTGTAAAGTAACCAGCATCTTCTCAAAATAATCCATTCAATTTCGCCTTGCTGATGTACATGCAATGCTTGTTTTCTGACATTTAATTCCCAAGTTTAATAGACAGTTAATTCCATTGGATCGCATTATTGTAAGTAATGAGTAGGCAATGTTATTGTGAATTACCAAAATGCTATGGTCTTTTTTTTTTTTTTAAATTAATGACCAGTATGTTGCTGGTCGCTCTAGCTCTTGCTCCAGTTCCTGTTCCACTGGCAGGCAGTGAGAGGACATGCTGACCTCATCTCTCTCTACCCCACCGGGCAGCCCTGATGTACGCTAGCATCTTCGGCAACGTGTCGGCCATCATCCAGCGGCTGTACTCGGGCACGGCGCGCTACCACACGCAGATGCTGCGGGTTCGGGAGTTCATCCGCTTCCACCAGATCCCCAACCCCCTGCGGCAGCGCCTGGAGGAGTACTTTCAGCACGCCTGGTCCTACACCAACGGCATCGACATGAACGCGGTGAGAACGGCCGGGTGCTACTACTGTACGTTCTTGTAGACGTTTGACAAAATAGTTCCTCAGACTTTTTAAATGGCAACGCTCCCGGGATACAGTGTCCTGTCTGAATAATAATAGCAATATTTAGGAGGTAAAAGAGTCCAAATTTTGGGGAACACATACAATATTTATTCTTTTGTATGTTGTTCTAGAAATAAAGTTGGTTATTCCAGCTTCATTGATATATATGTGTCATCTGGTAGCTGAACTTACATCGGGTTGTGATAACAGTGTTTTAATGACAATCTGAAGCATGGAAAGTGGCCACCACATTCGCCATTATGCCAGATCGTGCTTAATAACATGGGAGGGCTGAGATGATTTGTCCCTGACAGTCTGATCCAGATGGTATCGTCACAGATGATGTGACAATCTGATGATCGTTAAATCCTTTCCATTCATATGAGTGTAAATAGGGCTTTTCCAGACCGGGTTCTGGTCCTTGGTGTGAGTGGTGACATGCTATGGATCTCCGTCACCTCCAGGTGCTGAAGGGCTTCCCCGAGTGCCTGCAGGCTGACATCTGCCTGCACCTGAACCGCACGCTGCTGCAGAACTGCAAGGCCTTCAGGGGCTCTACCAAAGGCTGCCTACGTGCCCTGGCCATGAAGTTCAAGACCACGCACGCCCCCCCCGGAGACACATTGGTGCATGCCGGCGATGTCATCACCGCCCTGTACTTCATCTCCCGCGGCTCCATCGAGATCCTGCGTGAGGATGTAGTGGTGGCCATTCTGGGTAACAACTAATTTACTAGATATTACATATTAAATTGGATATTGCCTATTAAATTGGGTTATTCTAGCGTGATTCCCGGTTAGTCTGTTGATAAAACGGTTTTTATCCCGGAGGAAGTCTCCAAACATGGCGTGTCTGGTCAACATCATTGTGACACAGAACTTTTTACAGGAAATTGGAAAGGAATCATCTTAAGACAGAATGCTGTGAGCTAAATGTTACAGGTTCCTGGAAGTACCAGCTCTTCTTCAATCTGCAGCATGCGTCCTCGCGGCTACCGTCCCTTGGCTAATGTTAGCTCACAGCACCATCTATTGGTTATTTTGCTGTCCTTCGCTTCAATAGAGCACCAAGCTAAATCACTAACGTTGGTACTGCACTAAATCAATTCAGACGTTTTACTAAATATGATGCTGCTGATTATGATCAAGCTATTATGACTGTAACTAACTATTAATTTATAAATATCATGCATATATAATTATATGTTTTATTATATACATTTATTCAGTGAGTCGATTAAAAAATTAACTAATCGCACGTGTTTCTGTGATCGCGATTTTTAAAATCAGCTTGAATACAGGCTCAATTAAATAATACAGCTTCATTGTTTAAATTGTCAATTTTGCCTCTGGGGTCGTTAGTCAGTTTTATCATATTACCATTTATTCCTCTAATATTTAATCAAACCCAGGGCAAGACAGAAATTTAAAAATTTAAAATAAATTTTAAAAAGACATAACCAAAATATGAACACGAACAAACATCTTATAATACAAATTGATTGGTTATTGTGGGTTACATGCAATGAAACTGAAATATTTAAAAAGCGTTTAAATATTTAAAATAAAGTTCTGAACATAAGAACAGTTCTGCGTTCTTTCATTTTTTTTCTTTCAAATGGTATGGACATGCAATGTCAATTGTTTTGCACAAAAAACAAATACTGGATTTCATTGTCTGGATGGACTTTTTTAAAATTCTCATGTTAGTGAGAATGACCCATATATTAAGCTAACATTTGTTTAATGGTTTAACTTAAACTTGTGATGTACAGATTATTCATTTCCAGCAACGATACTGCTTATAACCAAGTACAAGCTGAATTCCAATGCTTTCAGAAAGGCTAGATGCACAGATGGTAATATGACAAGAGACGGTATGGGCTGATTAGTAGGGATCTTAAACGATTATTTTTTCTTAATCTCACATCTTGGCGATTAATGGCATATACCACATGTACATAATCACAGGTACTCAGCAGGCAGATAAACTCACGTTTTAATAGCATCCGCATGATGCTCTAAAATCTAAAACCAATTTGGCTAATGCCTCTAAAAACAGAAGCTTTACAGCCACTGAAAATGCACTTAATAATAAGAAAAAACTTAAGCTTTACCGCATAAGCCCTCATTAAAATAAAACAAACACTGCAAATTACGATATTTTGTCCTCAATATGCCTCCGTCTGGCATTTTTTTTAAACCAAATTAAACATTTAATGTCAGCTTCCTAGTGAGACCCGAACTGAAACGATTTGATTTTAACTTCTGGGATTCCGTGCAGCATCATAACATAAACTCTCATGTTGTTATAGGTCTCTATTAAAAATCTTTGCTCGTACTATTCTTTGTTTTGGCTATCAAAATACTGCATGCAGTCAAAGAAATAATAACGCGTTATAACTTTAAAACACTACACTTTAACAATAGATTTCCCAGCCCTAATAAATATACAATATTAATCTATTAAACGTGACAATTTTTCTGGTGATTACAAATGTAATAGATATTGACATTAAAGCCAAGTAACCATTTCTGGAGGCTTTTATCGGAGTTTAATGTGTATATATCTTCTATGAAAGCCGAATGTTACTATCCTTCCATCCCTTCTTTCCTGCAGGGAAGAACGATATATTTGGTGAACCCATTAATCTGTACGCACGCCCAGGGAAGTCCAACGCCGACGTGAGAGCACTAACCTACTGTGACCTGCACAAGATCCACCGAGAGGATGTTCTAGAGGTCCTGGACATGTACCCTGAATTCTCGGACCACTTCTGGAGCAACCTGGAGATCACATTCAACCTACGCGATGTGAGCCCGGCTTCTTCTGCGTGTAATGACAGGGTTTAAGAGCATGAGTGGGTTTCAAGTAAGGAGAACAGAAAGGTTCAGGAGAGGGGACAGAACAGCAGGGCATTTCAGTGGACTTTGTCTGGAAAAATATCCTGTACATTCTGTAAAGAAATTCCCCGTGACACTCTACTTGATTAGCAATTCGAAGGTGGATGGATGGATAGGAATTATAAATTGCTTTATATAAAACTAGGTTACTAAATATCATCATATCCATGTTCTGTAACACCAGCCTGGAGTTTGTCCCAAAGGACACAAGGCAGGGGACACCCTGAATGGAGATAGAATATCAGTCCATTATACCAAAAATGCCATCCTCTATACCATAGTTACATAACCTACTGGACCATTTTTCTCGGGTTCCCCATGTAGACAAATATGATTCCTGGATCTGCAAGCAGTGACGACTCGGACGGAGGCAGCTTTCACCGCCAACGCCGCCGCAAGCTGTCTTTCCGCCGCAGGACTGACCGAGGTAGCGTGTCGTTCGGGAGCGTTTCCCCGACGAGACCCGCAGTGCTCTGTCATTCCAGGCCTTCCGCGTTCTTTCCTAACAGATGCCGCGGAAACGGGGAGGAACAAGCCATCGCAGCAGCTCGTCCGTCCGGCTAGGCGGAGCACAACCAGCAGTCGGCTGGAGGGCCACAGCATGGAGTGGGAGGGGCCCCCAAATTTGGTCTCCTCCCCCTCTCACTCCAGTGGAGATGAGGGGGATGACTCTATCCTCTCCGGTCCCACTGCTCCCCTGCCCCTCTTGGAGCTCCCTCAGCGTCAGGCCCTGCACCCAACCCTCAACGATACCCTGGGGGGGGATGGGGATCCCCGCAGTGGCAACAGCTGTAACGCACTGTCAGGTGAGCCTCACCTAACCTAGCAGAACACACATTCGCTGGCCTTGCTCAGTCCAGCTAGGCCCAAAACAGAAGGACTTTTTAATGCTGGTAGATGTGCCGTTTTTCATTCAGTCACATCGAAGCCCCGCCTATATTATGACGCCAACTGTTCACATCTAACATCACTCAAGCCACAAAAGAAAACTTTCCCTTATCTGATGGCAAGGTTGCATCCAATCTTCCATTGTCCAATTTTGGAGACCCAATGTAGCCGGAGTTTCGTGTCCGTAGCGGACAGGAGAGGCAACCGGTGTGGTCTTCTGCTGCTGTAGGCCATCTGCTTCAAGGTTCAACGTGTTGTGCATTCAGAGACGCTCTACTGCTTATCTTGGTTGTAAGGATACGAGTTACTGTTGCATTTCTATCAGCTTGAACCAACTTGCTTGAACCAGTCTGGTCATTCTTCTCTGACCTCTGCCATCAACAAGGCATTTTTGCCCAATGAATTAGCCGCTCAATGGATGTTTCTTTCTTTTTTAACCCATTGTGTGAAAATCCCAGTAGATCAGTAGTTTCTGAAATACTCATACTAGCTTGACTGGCACTAATAACCATGCCACGTACCATGCCACGTTCCAAGTCATTAAACCTTTCTTTCGTACTCTATGGTCAGATGTGAACATTAACTGAAGCCCCTGACCTGTATCTGCATGACTTTATATATTGTGCTGCAGATATATATGATCAACAAGCAGCCGAACAGGTGTACCTAATAAGGTGGCCAGTGATTGGGCCTAATTTTGCAAAAACAAAGTTGAACATAAAACAAAGGACCGTGAGGGATCAAACAAAGATGTAACGAGGAATAGCTATATGGGATCAGAATTAACCTTAAACACAGACAAGAGCTCACACAGGAACTGGCACATGTATAACATCCATGACCAGACTAGCGAGAACAAAACAAGTTGGCATTGATATACATAGACAAATTCGGAGCAAACAAGAGGCAGGTGTCATTACAGTTTAGTCTGAATTGCTAACACACTAAATCTCGTTCTTGGAAAAAACCTAGCAATTTCCAAAACTCATTTATTGAATCAGTCACTCACTTGGTGAATCTTATAACATTGCTCACCTAGTTAGACACAATTTGCAGATCTGAGTCACCCCTTTTGCAAAACTCTAAACACATTCTCATTCATCAAAACACATTGATGCAAAATAGAAAACACAGGTCACAAAAGTGAAGCACAGCCACCAGACAGTAGTCATCATTGAAACACAATGACTCAGAACTGTTCACACATGTTTCTAAACATGGGAGAGACTAAAACATAGAATACGAGCCCGATGAGAGTGCAAGAGCCATAGGTGAGCTGGATTTCAACGTCAATGTACAAATGGGTCACACAGAGGATTCTTCCCGCACTGCCCAGCAAGGGAGAGCATTTCCTGTGATGCAGAAAAAGTTCTCTGTCCTGACTCAGCCCTGAGACACGGCGTTGCGGCAGAGTGAACTCTGACTTGGCAGTGGCACAACATTTTACTATAGTATCCCTCTCATTTGGATTATTTACTTTGCCCTTTACAGTAACTTTTTTGGTGTGCTGAATACTGCAAACATTACATATCAGTGTAGCATAATTGTATACAAACATTTTTGGTAGACAACATTTTTTTCACTATTGTCTTGTGGTTTCCAGTTTTGCAGCTCAACATGCAAAAGACCACATCCACAGTAAACTTTTCTCTACATGCCAGACACAGTTTTTGCTGGTAGTGTTTTCAGTGTTTTGCTATCATGTGTACTGACTGTGCAGTAGTGTTTATTTAACTGACTGGCTTGATGCGTGATCTGTAAGCAGCGTTTGCTTTTGAGCAAAGATGATACAGTTTTGAGAAGATTGTTTGATTTTGCAAGACGGGTCAAAGGTTTTGTGAGTGTAGCTTGAATTTTAGGGTTCGTCCTTAGTGTTTTGGAAAAGGGAGAGTAGATTTTAGGAAATGCCTTTTTTTTAGGAAAAGCAGTTCAGGAAAACTGTAATAGACATAAGAGGGAAGAACCAGAATGGTGAAACAGCCACCTCTGCTGGCCAAACAGGAACATTACACACACATCCTGACATTGATGAGACATATTTTGTTATAATCAGGTAATTTCGTGTCTTTTTATAAGTCAGATCATTTTTATGTTTTAACATTATACTTTCAGAAAAGTATCTTGTTATCCAAAGAAACTGGACAAATTTTATATTGTCATAGTGGCAGCATGCAGCCGTAATCTGCTGGCCAGACTTAATAATGAATTATAAAATGTCGGGGCTGTATAAAACCATATACTGTACATCCGGTCAGTACTTTAAGACCCATTCTAAGCAGAGATGCCACCCCACCCATATTGTACGGGATCATCCTCTATCATAAAATAAAATGCTGTGTTCCTTTATGATTATGCTGCTGTTTTTTATATGTATATGTAAGTTGTCGTGGTTGTCGTTAAAAATGTTCTTGAAATTCAAGTTCTGTGAAATTCATTTTGAAAAAAATTAATAAATAAAGGTGAATTTTCAATGTCCCAGTAGAGACCAGAATATGAACTACATGCTTGCCTTTCCTATTAAAGACAGACTTTATTAGTAGATAATAACAAGTTCTTTTTGGTTATAGTCAACTGTGGGTAATTTTTCAACTTTTTTGTTTCATGAATACCATAACACTTATCGCAATGATTACAGATCATTTTTTCCCCAATATTATTCAGCTCTAGTTTCAAGGCAACTGGTAATGTTTCCTTATATATTTATGTGATTGTTATATTGTTATATTTATGTGAATTATTAAAGAAGTAGCCTATAAGCCAGAGAAGTTTTGCTAGGATTGTGTTATTAAAAAGAAATAAATCGCCAGTTGCTGTAACTGCTTAAGGCACAGGCTGATACAGTAAACGTTACTGCATGCTACTGCACTTCAGTGAGCTCTTCAGTTTAATTGTAGTTACCATTTAATTTATCCAAGCTTAATATCTCATTTTGTATGAAAATAAATAGATATTTCAATACTCCCTACGCTTTTTCCCATGTTTGAGTGTGGGGTGGGGCTTGGTTAATCGAATTTTATTCAAATAATCACTGGCGGAATACGATGAGTAATTCTGCCTGAAATGCCCCTCCCTATTACTCAGCATAAAGGTCACTGTTTTTGTTGTGTGGTAGGAAAGCTACACGTGATAGTGACCAGGAAATTACAGGTCTAGAGAGCCCAGGAACTTGGAATTAGAAACCAGGTTCCTGAACTTCGGTGAGAAAGCTCCTAACGTGACGCTGTTGAGTGTTCGTCCTGAACAGGCGCTCTCTCCGGAGTCACCAGCATCTTCAACTTCTGGGGTGAGAGTCGTACGCGGCAGTATCAGGAGCTTCCCCACCGCAGCGTGGCCCCGCGGCCTTCGCACAGCGTCCCGATGCACAGCATCAGCCGGGAGCAGCGCAGCGAGCTGGAGAACCGGCTGGATCTGCTGCAGCAGCAGCTCCACAGGTGAAGAAGCTAAAGCGATTTTCCTGAGACCATATGGTGTGTGGCTACTTCAGAAGCATCTTCTCAGTGGGTTGTCATCACTTGGGTCTCATTCAGATGAAATCATAGGACTCTTTCAGGGAATATGAGCCACAGTGCATGACAGAAGTGAGAATGGAAACATCAGGATGCCATTGTCGGCTGTTCCCCGCCAGTTTGGGCCCCTCGCTTTTCTTGTACTAGTGACGCTGGGGTATTTTCACCAGCTGAGCTACATGACTAAGCTGTGGGATTAAATACAGGGCAGGGAGGCATCTCAGGGTTACAGGGATAAACAGGCACCCATCAGGAGTTTTTCTTCCACACCAGAGTAAAAATACATGAATACATCCATCCATTTTCTGTAAGCGCTTATCGTATTAAAGGTCACGGGGGTCTAGAATCTGTATGCAAAAATACAAACACATTAAAATAGGAAAATGTCGGAGTGCATATATCAGAATTAGCTTACAATTAGCTTTGTTTGGAGAAGATAGAAGAAATTTCTTCTTCTTCTGAGTTTGCCTTTGTGCAGAAAAATATTTCGAACATTTCAACGTCAACTAGGATCAATAAACACAGAGTGCAAACTTACAACACAAGTTTGACACATGGTAGACTTTTAATGCAAAACGTTAAAACTAGTGTCGTCAATCGATTAAAAAAACATTCAGTTAAT